AAAAAAAGGATAAATAATTAAATCAGAGATTAGAGGTTCGGCGCGCAGTGGAGGAGTATTAGAAACAGGAATAAATATTACATCTTGGAAATGGAAATTAGGAACAGAGATTAAACGCAAAATGGACATAAGTAATAAGTAATATCTTGTTCTTATATTTACTTGTGTGTTATATTTAATCTTTATTCTTAATTTTTATTTCTAAAATTTAATATTTATTCATGTTGCTAATATTTCCTCTACTGTGCGCCTAACTTTAATCTCAGTTTAAGTTGTTTATTTTTTTTTTTTTTCAATAAAATAGATTAAATTTAATAGATCTTAAAATCAAGTTTAATAAAACTGATTAAGACTTGGATTAAATTTAATTTAAATTCTTAATTTGATTTAAATTAAAGTTTAGATTGGTAGAAATGCACACAAATGGATTTTTCCTGAATCTTGTATATCAAATGTAGAGAATTGATTGTTTCAGTCAACAGAAAAGGTAATTGTAAAATATACATATATATGTAAAACATGCATTGCAAAAATGTAAACAAAACATTTAAATATAGATTGTATAGAATTATCAAAAAATTATTCAAAAATTATCGATGTAAATTCATGTCGATGTGACAAGTACATTTCCCGATAAGATGGCAGTATCTCGTATAAACACTCGCGAAAGAAAAGAATTGTCTCGATGACGCAAACGTCAAGAGTGTCTGGACAGAAATTAATATTCCACGTGCATCATTCTCGATGTGCGCTAACAGTTGAAGAAATAGCTTAATGACGTTCTACGGTGTCCCAGTCTGAATAAAAATAGATCGTGCAAATTGCGCTTATCTACCGACGCGTTATCTCGTTATGCCATGTCTTTTCCCAACAATGAGATTAAATAAACGTTCATGCAATTTAATTGTGGTTACTCACTCTGCGACGCTGCCTGGGATTGATGCTGCACCGCCGCTCTCTGAAACAAGATCGAAAAACTGAAGTTAGTTCTCGAAATGACACATTCACGACCATTTTTGCGCGAAGGAGAATACTCTCATTCGCCGTCGTACGTGCCTGGCACCGGTCGTAAACACCTCGCGATTTACATGTCGAGTTGATTGGCTAGATAAATACATTCCTGTTTATTGAAATTGCAACGTGGAGAAATCTTTGCGACATGCAAATGTCGCGGAGAATTCCGGACACGTAAATTATTTTAAGCTTACATCCCACCACGATTATCTATGAAAATAATACAAAAATCTATGAAAATATCTATGAAAATAATAAAAAAAATTTCTCGTATCTCGTAACATAATTATACTTGAATTATACGAAGGACTCGTGTCTTTCGTACATATTCATTCCTTTTCTAATCTTGACAGGTACACGTTTGCCATTTACAATTTCGATGAACAGTAGCGATTTTTAACGACACTTTCGGGAATATCGCACGAAGCGGATGGGGGGGCAAGGGGGAGGATAATCGAGTCTATGTACATTTTGCAGAATCAGCCGAATGCCGGACGCCTCCAGGCTCTTGGCGTCCAGGGAGCGGCTTCTCGGCTTCGCGCCGAAGTCGTCCTTCTTCCCGCCCTTTATCCATCGAAAGTACGAAGACATCTTTGAGAGGATCCTTCGCTTAGCTGCCTCCGGATCCGCCGTCGATCCGCATAACCGAATTCCGTCAGAGCCGCGTAATCTGTCGTCGTTATCTCGCGCTCACTCATCGACGCGAAACGGAACGCGGCGTTCGTTGTAATTCCCTAATTACAGGTACGCGCGGTTTTACATAAGAGCCGACCACATACGGAGCCGGAGAGGCGAGAGGCGAGAGGCGAGAGGCGAGAGGCGGGAAATGGAATCCGATCACGATCGCGATACCTGATTTCGCACGGCGAAAAATACTTTCCGCCCTTTCTGCCTTTTCGGGAGAGACACCCGTTACGCGCGCGTAAACGCGAGCTAATTAAGTTCTGACGTCTGCGACGTATAGACGATTCGTGTCGCGTTGCTACGCGATAAAGGGGACGACTATCAATACGATGTGGCCCATATGTCGCAGGTGCAGCGCACATTGTGTCGACTATCGTCGAGTCGGTTCGGTTTGCTTTAC